TATATATATATATATATATATATATATATATATATATATATATATATATCTATATCTATATGTGTATACAGTTGTGCTCAAAATTATTAAATATGGTAAATATGATCAAAGAAGGCTGTGACAATTAATCTGTATCATCAGTTCTTTAGATGTTTCATTTAAAAATTTACTAAAATCTACCCTGTCATTGGAGAATAAGAATTTAAAATGGGAAATCTCATTATGAAATACATTTTTTTCTCTAATACACATTGGTCACAATTAATCATACACTTTTATCCAATACTTTTTGCAACCTCCTTTTGCCAAGAGATCAGCTCTGAGTCTTCACCTATAATGCCAGAAGAGTTTAGAGAACATCTGACAGGAGATCAGAGACCATTCCTTCATCCAGAATCTCTCCAGACCCTTCAGATTTCCAGCTGCATGTTGGTGCTTGTCCTCTTCAGTTCACCACACTCGTTTTCTATAGGGTTCAGCTCAGGGAACTGGGTTGGCCAGGGCAGAAGCTTGGTTTTGTTCTTAGTGACCCATTTTTGTTTTGATTTCAATGTTTGTTTGTGGATCATTGTCCTGTTGGAAGATCCAACCATGGCCCATTATAAGATTTCTAACATGAACAGTCAGTTTTAAATTTTTTATCCATTGGTATTTTATAGAATCCATTATGCCATCTATCTGAACAAGATATCCAGGATCTCCGGCAGAAAAATAGGCCCACAACATTAAAGATCCAGCAGTAGGCCTATATCTCATTGTACACATGGGGTACTTTTTTTATCCCTGTGTGCACCAAACCCATCTTGAGTGTTTGCTGCTAAAAAGCTCATTTTTAAAAAAGTTTCATCTTACCATGAACATTTAACCCAGTCCCGTTTAAAGTTCCAGTCGTGTCTAGCAAATAAATATGCTGGAGTTTGTTTTTGGATGAGAGCGATTTCTTTTCTATTTTTTTCTTGAAACCCTCCCAAACAACATTGTTTAAAAAAAAAAATGTTTAGGTTTTCTGACCCCAAGACTCAACTATTTTCTGCAGTTCTCCAGCTGTGATCCTTGGAGTTTTTGGCCACTCAAACCTTCCTCCTCACCGTGCATAAGGACGGTTATATATATATATATATATATATATGTGTGTGTGTATGTGTATATGTATACATTTTATAATAGTAATTTTAGTACATGCACTTCTTTCATTCAGTTAAAGGGATAGTTTATTATTATTAATAATAATAATAATTTTGTGATGTTTACCAAACTAGCATTAATATGAATTACATTGTAGTAATGATAATAAGGTCCCATCGACTTTATTATTATTATTATTATTTAATAGTGATAAGCACTATTGGTTAGATGAAATACATTTTTCATTTTATTTCGGCTTTATTTCAGTTACTGAAAATGATTTTTAGTCATTTTAATTTGATTTAAGTAAACTAATAAACTATTTTTCTAAGCTTTATGAGGTTAATGTTGAACAATACTTAAATGGTAATTTATATAGATTATTTAACCATTTACAGAAACAAAACGAGGGCTCACAAACATTTAGCCTTAACCTTGAATAAGTGTGTGCAATCTAGTGATGTTACCTTTAGAGGGCGCCCTATGCAACTGAAAAAAAATCTAGTACATGTATTATTTTGAAGCCCGAATAAATTTCATATTACTAAATTAGTGGGTTAATCGTCATATGATATTTAAAACAGCTGTACAGTGATATTTATGATGTTTCCTTTTTCAGTGCTTTTGAGCTGGTGAATGATTCATCACAGATGTGTTGATGCTTTGGCCTGAATCCAGATCTCTTCACACATGCATAAACACTCATGCCTCACAAATATTAGAGGCTGCTGTAGCAATGCATTTCAAAGAAGCGCATCACACAGGCTTCATATGAGGAATATAGACCACGTCCCTGTCAACATGCTGGTGGTATTCAAACATGTTTTAAATTACACTGTTTGAGAAAATTGTACAATAAAAAAACAACAACAAAAAAAAACAGATTGTGTGATTATTTTTAAATATCTCACAAAAAAGGTCCCGAGGCTTTTTAATTGGTTTAAAACTTCATATGATATTTAAAACAGCTGTACAGTGATATTTATGATGTTTCCTTTTTCAGTGCTTTTGAGCTGGTGAATGATTCATCACAGATGTGTTGATGCTTTGGCCTGAATCCAGATCTCTTCACACATGCATAAACACTCATGCCTCACAAATATTAGAGGCTGCTGTAGCAATGCATTTCAAAGAAGCGCATCACACAGGCTTCATATGAGGAATATAGACCACGTCCCTGTCAACATGCTGGTGGTATTCAAACATGTTTTAAATTACACTGTTTGAGAAAATTGTACAATAAAAAAACAACAACAACAAAAACAGATTGTGTGATTATTTTTAAATATCTCACAAAAAAGGTCCCGAGGCTTTTTAATTGGTTTAAAACTGAGGGTACAAACTGTGACTGTATAATGTGAGCCTAATAGTTTGTGTAAAGACACTACACTACCAAGACGTACATTTGTGAATACAAATGCAACAAATACAGTGTGCCATAAATATGTGTTCGAATCAAACATTTTATACAAATGTATACAAAATGTGTTATAATGCATGCTGAATACAAATAGCATCAGATGCTCTATGCAAATAAATATTGTAAATTGAGGCATTACAAGCATTACACTAAACGCCAGTCTATAGTCACTTATCTAGAGTTTCATGGAGGGAAAAAAGCAGGTTATGCTTGCTCATGCAAAACTATTCACCGCAGTGCTAGTGTGTTTTGGGTGGTTGATATGGCATTTTATACAGTTGCTAATTTTGTGGTTTTATGTTATGCAGATTGGGTTTTCGAAGTGTTTGCTTACTGATCCATGTCAAAAAGCTATAAGCATAAAACTAGGGTCACTAAATATGGCTCAGGGCCACAGTTTCAAAAGTCTAATCTCATTTTATAACTATAAAATGACTATATACAACGATAACTATAAAATTATAGTTCGTTTTTTTAATGAATTTAAAAATTACAAAAGTTCAATAAGGAACAACATCAATCGAAATAAGGATACATTAGTAACTATAAGCAATTGAAGAGCATCACAAACATAATTTCTTGTTATTAGGACGTTATTATTTTATAGTTTCAAACTGCTCTTGAAATTGATTTTGAATATAACATTTTCAAATAACAACAAAGCACACAAATGATACTACTGTATATTAAAGTCTTGCTTAAAGAACACCCTCTCCATCTTTTACGTAACCAGACTTATACATCAAGTCTAATACATATGGATGGAGGTTTGTAGAGATCCTTTTCCCATTTGTTTGAGCACATGCTCCTCATTTTCATGTCACCTGCGTTTGTCAGTCACAAAAAAAGTGTGCTTTGAAGGACGGAGGCTAAAGTATGCTGTCATTGGTGGAGAACGTAGCATGTGGGCGGGACATAGCTCAACGGTAAGTTCTGATTGGTGAAAAACTTTCGAGGTCGAAGACATGTCAACAAAACTGCACACTTGAGTTTGCAACTTTGCACAAGACACTTGAGAGTGGTGGAAATTAAAGCGGCATTAAAGTCGGAAGGTCCTTCAGAGTTACCAGGTATGCTTCTCTTTTAATACTTTTAGACATTTTTCGTATTTAACCAAACTCACATCGCGTACACGAAGCTTGTGGGCTTGTTTCTTCTATATTTCCGGCATGTGTGTGTATGTAAAGAGCGACTTCGACATTTGCCTGTGGATTTGATTGAACACTCCCCTTTTGACTGTGTGTCTGCTTAAAATGTACATATACGTCTAACATCCGTGTAACATACAACACACACAGGGAACATATGACGCATGGGAATAATAATTAAGTGCTGATATTCGCCTGACGTGAGATTTGTCCTTGTATGGGCATTTTATGTCGGAGGAGATGATGGGAGAGATAAGAGAGACACAGAGGACCTAATGAAGCTTTTCCTTTATTTCAGAAAAATCTGGACTCACCTGGTTTAACAATTAAAAAATGTTTTACCATGGTAATCAATCATAGTTTACCCCAAAATAACATACAGGTATTACTTCTGTAAAATAAGCAATAATTTCTATTATCGTGTATAATACAATAATTATTGCTAAAAATTACTTTATAATTGTATGAAGTCAAATATGGAACACCTTCCAACCTCATAAAGCGTTCAAAAAGGTCAATAGAATAGGTAAAGGTAATATCATTTTTTTTCGGATAATACCATTTTGGTGCACTTTGTGCTTCTTTCTGTGTTATTTATAGCTGTTATCTATTTCAGACATTCTTCTATATCCTCAACTCTCATGGCTCATGGCTACATTGAAAAAAAAAACTCTCATGAGAGCCACATTATTAGCAGACCCAAATTACTGCGAAAGGAAAAAAAGATCCTTATTAAAGAGTGAAGCGTGTCACAAAGTGGTACGTCGGTGATTAGGCCGCTTTCATTTTTGAAATTCGCATGGAAGATTCACCATTTCGGCTTAACAGGATCCCATTCTTGCTCAGTTTATGCCAGATCTATTTACTCTTCGGATCTACTTAATATTCGAAAGATTTAGCACAAATGGAAGAATGTTGATGAAATGAATGGATGAAATGGCTATTAGTCTTTGACCCACTTGGAAAAGTAGCTCACGTCTTTCTCAGTTTTCTGGTAGTGAGCAGTAGGTCCATTGCTTTGTTTTTTCAGTGCTGTCAGTATGTGTATAACTCCACCATTCTCTCCTGCATTAATGCCTTTAGGGCTGTTTCACTTGACATCCTTAGTTACACAGTTCTTTGCCAAAATATTTGCCAGCCAGGGAGCTGTTGGTGTAACCAATGGGACAACACAAGGATAATACTAATGAAGTGAAAACTCTTTCAGCTTTTCACTCTCTCCTTTACTCCTGTGTTTTTTCACTAGTAGAGGCCTGTAGTGGAGATACCGTCCTCATTGAACTCACTCACCACCCTCTCTACTACATCAACGTTGTTCTTTTCGATTATGATATGATGTGTACAGCATATGTGATGTATGCCAATACATTAGTCCTGTACGTGTTCAAGCTCCTTTACATATCCTTTACTTCTCTACATTTTAACATTTTGGACTCATGCAATGAAACTCAACCCACAATAGAGATGGCTCTTACATTTTTGTTGTATTTGTTTATTAATTTGTTACTGAAATTGAGCTGATGACTTTCTAATGTGCTTGTGTTTTTCAGTTGCTGGACGGAGCCACTAGGGGGCAATGTCTGAAAACAGCAACAGTGCCAATAGCAACAGCTGGACTCTTCTTACTCCGGAGGTAAAGGTGTGTTTCAGTGTCGGAGGCCTGGGTAAAAGTCTCTGTGGTCTGAAAATGTTCATGTTATTGCATACATATCTTGATACAAGCATCAATGACATTGCATTCTATCTGTCAATTTATTCAAACCTAATATGCAAATTGAATGCAGTGACTTGAATACACATCTTCTGTTTATATGGGTGTGGTATTTACGAATAATTTATGGAGGCATAGTATTTATGTAGTATAATCAAGGACTCATGATATTTGTAATAATAATAGTAATATATACACTCATATGGGGGAAATGGTATTACTTAATGTCCTGATATCATAATGAAAAAAAAAAAACAAGGCAGGGTTAGTGTGGGAAAACTTCTGAAAATGTACTATTTATGAATCTACTGATTAATGATATTTGTAGTAGTTTTAGTAATATAATAATAATAATAATAATAATACATTTACCTTGCAGAATATAGTTTTAAAACCTTTTTAAGTGATTCAGAAGCATACAATCACATGTGGAAAACTACTTGATGGTGACATTTTTATGAAATGTAATCTTAAAAAAAAAAAAAGGTATGAACGTTTTGAAAATCCATCAATAAATAAAAATACAAAAAATATACAGGTGCATCTCAATACATTAGAATGTCGTGGAAAAGATCATTTATTTCAGTAATTCAACTCAAATTGTGAAACTCATGTATTAAATAAATTCAATGCACACAGACTGAAGTAGTTTAAGTCTTTGGTTCTTTTAATTGTGATGATTTTGGCTCACATTTCACAAAAACCCACCAATTCACTATCGTGCATTTATATCTATTTTTCTGTTCATTTGATTTTGAACGAGTTTGTTTTTAATATTTGTTGTCTGTATGTATCTGTGTTTTTTAAGTACTGTATATATCTTTAAAGTGTTGGTGGTGGTCAAAACGGAGCTTAACTGCAGTTGGCAGGTCTGTTATGGAATAATGATGGACTTGCATGATGACTGGTGGCAGCTTGACAGCTTGATTTTCTGTTTATTGCTTTTTATTTATATATAAATACAGCGTGCCCGCTCTGATTACATTTCAGATGCATCATTCTCTCTGTTTTTCACTCTCTTTGTTAAGGTGAACATTTGCTTGTACCTGCATCCTGAAAACACTGCAGATTTTGTTTTTATTTCCCTTTTTAAACAGTGTAAAATTGTGTGTCAGTGTTTGTCTTTAGGAAATGTATGCTCTTTTATGTAATTTGAAGAAAGGCTTGATAGTATTTTTTTAATGGTTTTTGCAAGTCACAACTAGTCTCTTACGCTCACCAAGGCTGCATTTATTTGGTCAAAAATACCGTAATAATGTAAAATATTAAAAATATGTATATGTTAATATATTAAACTGTTTTCGATTTTAATATAATTTAAAGTGTTATTTTTTTCCTGTGATACCAAAACTGAATTTTTAGCAGCCATTAACCCAGTTTTCAGTGTCACCTGATCATTCAGAAACATGCTGATTTTCAGATCAAGAAACATTTCTTATTATTATCGATGTTGAAAACCGTTGTGGTGCTTAGTATTTTTGTGAAAACAGCCTTTTTTCAGAATTGTTTGATGAACAGCATTTATTTGAAATGTAAATCTTTTGTAACATTGTAAATGTCACATTTGTTTAAATGAATGCTTCCTTGCTGAATAAATGTGTAAGTTTCTTTTATAAAATCTTTCTGACCCCAAGCTTTTGAATGGTTTTGTAAATGTATGATAGCTTGGAAATGCTTCAGTGTGGCATGTTTCAGTCATCTTGCTAATAATGTGTCTTGAGAAGAGTTTAATGCTAGATCACTGAAGCTGCAGACCAGACTGATGACGTGACCGTGGGGAGTTCCAGGAATAGAGCCTCAGTCTCAGTACACGAGCGTAGCCTTGATTCGCCAGACAACCCTAACCCTACAATCAGAGAACAGTGAATGCTTAATAATATGTTCTAGGGCCAAAAAAGGATGTTAATTTCCTACTCTTGCAAATAATGTTCGCTATTATATGAAGCATCCATAAAAGCCATTTAAAAAAAATAGCAATTTGGCTGCTGCACTAACCAGCTGGAAAAAGATTGCTTGTTTTTTTTTTTTTAGGTGAAATGCAATTGCAATGCAGTTGTGTATTTGTCTAATACCTACTGAATATCCCCCAATAATCATGTGCCCCTTTTCTGTGTAGAGCCTAAAGAAGTGTTGGAAACAAACAGGAAGGAGGGGTATGGTTTTCGAAAGAGAAAAATCTCCCACCTGGGCTCTTTGGACAAGACTGAGGCAGAAGATGATGAAGAGGGGGAGGAGGAAGATTTTCAACCACCTCAAAGAGAAGAGGAAACAGTCTTTTCTTTGAACAAGTGCATCCTTGCAGCTGTCATTCTTCTTGGACTAGGGACCATTTTCTTCTCTGGTGAGCATCAGGGCCCTTGTTTTCACACTCTTGAATTAAATCAAATGAAATGCAGATCACTGTATTCTCTAGATTCATTAGAAATCCAGTGCTTAGCATATTCAAACATTGAAATAATAAACTTATCACTTTAATAATTCTTCCTAAATGCTTATTTAATTACCATATTCAGCACCAAAAAGTGGGTCTTTTTTAAAGGGGTCAACGGATGCGACATGCACTTTTACAAGTTTAAACTGAAATGTGTGTTGGCAGTGTGAGTACACAACTACCCTTGATGATAAAGATCCACCCAGTGTTTGTTTTTAATCTTGTTAAATAATTTCCCCTTTCTCAAATCAAGCCGTTTTCAGATGCCTGTCTGTGTGATGTCACATAGACCAAGGCCCCTCCCACAATAGTTGATTGACACTAGCGTTTTACCTTAGACGCGCCCTGAGTGAGCTGTCATCAGTCCGCCATTGTTTCACCACCGGAGCAGATGTAGACAAGAATGTCTCCTAAGCGATTGAGGTGCTTTGTTATTTGATATAATAATGAACATGGCAGTCGTCATTTACTCCCTCTGAAGGTGCAGTGGATTGTTTTGTTTTTTTTAAGGGAATGCACCCCCGATCTACCTAAATGCGTCTATGTTCGCGCAAATCATTAGTGATCCAGCTTCACCTCCAAAAGAAGTGAGTATAAGGTTTTTAATGAATCTTTGCAAATAATGCTAGTTAGCAAGTTTCACGATGAATGCGGCTAAAGTAAACCGTCTCTCAGAGAGCAGCTCGGAAGAGAGGGGCGGGGTCAGCAGAGCTCATTTGCATTTAAAGCTGCATGCAACAAAATGGCTTGCTCTGAAAAGAGCTGTTTTTGACAGGGTAAAAACTGTGTTGTTTTACACTACCATTGAGAAATTTTAACCAAACTATGTTACTTTTCATTAAGACCCTAAAGAATCATATCAACTTGTGGAAAATGGGCATCCGATGACCCCTTTTAAGTCAGGTATATGAAAATGCTTTTAATTGGGAGGGGGGGGTGTCGATGTCGGTGTCTCTCTCGCTCTCTTTCTCTCTCTCTCTCTCTCTCTCTCTCTCTCTCTATATATATATATATATATAAAATTTGTCATTGTTAATAATATATTGTCAACATAATGGTTTGAGTGATTTTTTTTTTTTATTCTAAAACTTTCCATGTTTAAATTTGAATGTGAATTCCATTTGTTCAGTTTGATTTCATAAATAAGACAATGCTCTTAGGCCATCGTTATTAGGTTGTCAGTCACTAGAGGCGTCTACATAAACTGCATACTCAGAAATGTGTGATGGAGATTACCATACATTTATGAGGATGGATATAATCAACTTTTCTATGACTCCTTGACCAACTGGTATTGAATATACTGTGTCATAAAATGGGGCATGTGACCAAAAGTACCTATGCAGTGGCCCATATCACAGAGTGAATTTGAATATGTTCCTGTGTCTGAGACTGAGGTGTATTGTTCCACAGGTATCTCTCTCTCTCTCTCTCTCTCTCTCTCTCTCTCTCTCTATATATATATATATATAAAATTTGTCATTATTAATAATATATTGTCAACATAATGGTTTGAGTGATTTTTTTTTTAAAAATTCTAAAACTTTCCATGTTTAAATTTGAATGTGAATTCCATTTGTTCAGTTTGATTTCATAAATAAGACAATGCTCTTAGGCCATCGTTATTAGGTTGTCAGTCACTAGAGACGTCTACATAAACTGCATACTCAGAAATGTGTGATGGAGATTACCATACATTTATGAGGATGGATATAATCAACTTTTCTATGACTCCTTGACCAACTGGTATTGAATATACGATAAAATATTTTAGAGCTTGGCAAATCTGGAAAAATGCATATTCATAAAATGTATTAAAATGCCCATGGCATTCAGTGTCTAGGCTGGTTGTTCAAGAAAACAAACAACACAATTTTTGATATGGCTAATTAAATTTTTAAAAGCTTATTTTAAGCTTATTATTTATTATAATTTAAATAATGCTTATTAAATACTAATTAATTTTGTATTTTTTTCTGTAATTAAAGAGATATTTCAGCTAAAAATGAAAATGCTGTCATCAAGTTGTTCCAAACCTGTATGAGTTTCTTTCTTCTGTTGAACATTTAAAATATATTTTGATTAATTATAATTAATAATAATAATTCATTACATTTATATAGTGCTTTTCTAGGCACTCAAAGCGCTTTACATTGTCAGGGGGTATCTCTTCATCCGCCACCATTAATGTTAGAAACCGAACAGTTGTTGCTCCCCATTGACTTTCATAGTATGGCAAAAAACACTATGAAATTCAATGGGGCCCAGAAACTTTTTGGTTACTAACATTTATCAAAATACCTTATTTTGTGTTCAACAGAAGAAAGTAAGTTATACAGGAATGGAACAACTTAAGGGTGAGTAAATGATGACAGAATGTTCATTTTTGGGTGAGAGTTGCAGTTTTCAGTGCAATGGCTAAATTATGTTTTCAACTAAGCCTCATGATGCACAACAACTCCTTAAAATGGTTTGTGCAGCATGTTTAATTTCCTGTGATGTCACATGGATGTTTAACCACTCTAAACAACTTTGAAAGACCATATCAGATATGGCGACATGACAGTGACATGAATAATGAATCCGATTTAATTCTGAACATTGCATGTTATGTTGAAGTCACTGCTGGAACTGCATGCTTTCTGTGTGATCTCTCAGTCCCTAATTACTGAGTGTTACGGCTCCATGTTAGCTTCCTCATCTTCATCACATCGGCCAATGTTGCTTTTTAATGATTGATATGTGATTGTGATTGTTGTCGTGTTATTATTTTTCTTGATTTGCTTGATCTCCTGCGTTTTCCTCTCAGAAGCAGACATGGATGTTAGAGAGCTGAAGGACCCAACAAATCAGGTCAGTTCATTTGCTCTTGTTTTTTGTATGATTTTACAGACCTAAAATGTATATTTTTGTAAGTATATCATCTGTTGGTTATTTGTTTGTGATAGGAGTGGCTGAATCCTGAGATCTCCAAAGACACGCCTGTTGGTCTTCAGCCTCCAGATATTTTAAGCAAGCAGGCGAAGGAAGATCAGCATATATTGGTACTACAGGAACAGCTTCAGGTGCAGACATGTGCAGACCTGTATTAAATGAAGCCAAGCATTTAAGTGTCAGAGAGAGAGTGAAACAAAATTACAAGTAAATAGTCTGGTTCTGCTAGCGAACCTTTAAAAGTGTATATGTAAATGATCTTTTATACTGTTCCTCAAGGTTTCTAGGACCAAACACTGTTGTAATTTACTTTTGCATGATTGTTATATTAAATAATGCTAGTTCTGATATTACATCATTTTCTTTTTTGTCACAAAGAAGCAGAGCAATTTCCAGTTTATGGGGTTTCTGTTGTTCAGTGTTAATTTTTGCCCTGTTTGTAAACTCAGCAATATCAAGGTGAACTAAAAGCAGCGCAACTTTGGGCAGAGGAGGGAGAGAAAGAGCGTGTGAGGAGAGAAGAGCTGGAGAAGGAGTATGAGAGGCTAAAAGGAGAACTAGATAGAGTACTTGCTCTTCAAAAGGAGCTGGAGCAAGAGAACGAGAGAATGAAAGAAGAAAGTGCGAGAGCAAAGAAAGAGCTGGAGGCCCTGCCATCACTACAGAGAGAACTGGAGCATCTGAGAGCTAAAGTTTCACAGCTCACACAGAGCACAGGTGCAGTAAACACATGCACACACACTGACAGCAGTCATACATCAGTGAAACGCATGTATTCTGTCTATTTTTTTTTCTATAAAAAAAAAAACATTCAAATTCAGTAACATGCATCTCCTAAACTTGTTTTAAAATGCTAAGCACATGAAAAAGTAAATTATAAATCATATATTAAATTCTTGGTTTATGTTTTATATATATATGTTATATAAGAATTTATTTATTTATGTTGGGGGCAATGATTTTTTTTTTGTTGGTTTTTTTATTGTTTTCTGTGGGTAAAAAAAAATAAAACTTCATCCTAACTCTCTTCCAGGAAGAGCAGAATCTGTTCCACCCATTGCAGCTTCTCGGATGCCCTCTGCTGGAGACAAAAGTAGTGTACCACCGATGGAAAGACAAGACGTGAAGCCCAGAAAGACTTGGGACAAAAAGAGTGAGGAGAAGGAACAAAGCAAGGGAGACAAAGAATGGAAAAAGAAGAAAAGTGGAAAAAAGGAAGATGACAAGGAAAGGAGGGAGAGAGTGACTGAGGGAAAACATACTAAGGAACAGAAGGACTGGAAAAAAGATAAAAGCCACCAAGAGGCAGGTAAAGCAGGGAAGCGAAAAGAAGAGAGAAAACAAGATTATGATCAAATGGGCAAAGAAAGTGAAGACAAGAAAGATTTTAAGGAATGGGAGGAGAAAAAAGAATGGAAGGAAGATAAAAAGTGGAAGAAAGACAAACATGTAGGACAGGATGAGAGGATGGGAGACAAGAAGGACTGGAAGGATACTGGGAACAAGAAAGTGAAAGAGGAAAACGAATGGAAACAGAGAGGGGAGCGGAAAGAGGACAAAGACTGGAAAAGCGATAAACGGAGTGGTGGGAATGACCATAAAGAATGGAAAGGTGAAAAAGAATGGAGAAAGGAAAAGAGTGAGGGAAAACACAATGATAAAACAGAGAAGAAATGGAAAGGAGACAAAGAATTTCCAAAAGAGTATGATGAAAAGGAAATAGAGGAGAAGCAGTGGAGAGGGAAACAAAGAGAGTCACAAGATAGAGAATGGCCAAGAGAGGGAGTAAAGGAGGAGAAAAAAAAGAAGACGTACTACCATAAAAACGAAGGGACAAATAGTCCCAATGAAAAGGAGAAACATGGGCATGGAGCACCAGACGAGACCTTCTCCCATCACCATTACGACCAGGAGAACTACTGGAACAGACAGAGAGCGCGCATTCAGCACTATGACGGGCAGCGGGAGACGTGCAGCGGTGTGGCAGATTGCGCTCGAGTCGAGGGACTCTCTCCCGTCAGCCTGCGGGACTTCGAGACCCTTCTCCAGTCCTACCTGAAGAAGCTCCAGGATGAGGACCAGACCTCCAGGAAAGGGGAGCTCAGTAAGCTGGTGAAGGAGTTCTTCACGGATGGAGTGTTCGCTCATGATCAGATGCCGTTCAGGGAGTTCGTGGAAGACGTGGGGGACATTTTGGAGGACATGGCCGAAGGAGAAGAGAGCGACAGCGAGGAAGAGGAGAGCGAGGAAGACGACGACGACGATGAGATGGAAGAATTTGAAAGGGAGGCAATGGAGAAATTTGCACTTCCAGAGGAAGTGAGGAAGGGAGAGCAGAAGAAAGAGAGCAGAAGAGTGAAAGGTTGAAGGTTCCTCATTGTGATTTAGAGGTTTCAGAAAAGGTACATCCCGAAACAGTCGAGCCTGATTTTCTGCTTACTAATGTGGTGTGTCATTTTTAAAGAGCTTATTAATTTTGATCAGTTTGGCTTAGCTTTTTCTTGTCATGGATAAAACATTACAGTAAAACCTCAGTGATGGTTTCCTTCTTATAATAGCTGTTTTTGCTCATTTTTCATTACTTTTATCTTTATTTGAAAATGTTATACAACGTCAAATAAAGACTCAGTGAGAGTCCCCTGTTCAGTCATTTAAATATCTGGGGCTGGATTCATGAAATGTGGTTAAGAATAAAATTATTTTATTTTCTTCTTATTTTTTATTTTAAGAAATAGTGTTTCTTTGTGACAAGAATTCTTAGAGTTTTTTTTGTCTTAAGATTGTTCTTAAAAAAAGCTGTAAGAGAATTAACTTTTTTTTTAAAAATATGTTCAAAATAATTCTAAATTAAATTTTAGACTACACAGATGATTAATAAATTAATTGGACCGTTATGATATTAAAATATAAGCATTACAACATAATACTAGTGTTTATAATGCATATTACTACTGCATTTTATTTAATACACCGCATGCATAATTTGGGGTCATTTTTAGAATTTTTTTACCCTAGCAAAGTCTCTGAGAACCTGACAAATTAATAAGATTAATGTGGTTTGGAATTGGTAAAATGTGCTTGGAAAAAATAATAATAATTATGCATGCAGTGTATAATGTTGCATATCTGTAGGTTTGTCGGATGTATGTTCAAGATTAGATTCAAGATTAGTTGCTATTAGACAAAAAAAGTTTATAGATGAATACATTTACTGTTAAGATTTACCAAGTATTAAGTAAATTATTGCAATATAAAGACAAATTTAACCTCAGTAGGTTAGTAAACAATCAGCAAGTCAAATCATTTTATCATTATTTTATTCTTTAAAAAAAAATCCTAAAAAGAAAATTAACGTATTCTTAAGACAATATTTGAGATATCTTTTTATAATTTCACTTAGACATGATGTGTTGCTTTAATTATTTGCAGTAAGATTTGTGCATTTTTAGGAAAACTTCTAAAAGAGGCCTGCATCGGTGGCTGCCATACCTTATCTCTTCATCACAACATCGCTTGTAGTTCCTGAATAGAAACGGTAAAATAGAAAAAGGTTTTTCGGTTCCTCTTGCCCTGCACTGTATTTGAACTTATTTGGTCTGCATGAATGACTCAAATGAACTGTGAAGTGTTTGTTCTTGTTGCTTGTTTTGTGCACATGCAGCAATTTACAACTTTATTAAACAGGATTAAACTGTACAAGTCATTTAATGGAATAAAGCTAATCATAAATAGCATACTATTATTTTATTCTTTAAAAAAAATCCTAAAAAGAAAATAAACGTATTCTTAAGACAATATTTGAGATATCTTTTTATAATTTCACTTAGACTTCTCATTTATCTTTAGAGCATTCTTAATTTTTGTTAAGAAGATATTCATGAATCTAGCTCCAAAAAAGAAGGCAACAGTGTCAAGAACTGTAGGAGTTTTCTCTGAACTGATCTACTGTTACAGCACATCAGGTTTATGTTTACGACCTGGCACATCTCACACAAATATAATATTTGTGTGCGAATATTCCTCAGAAGAATGTAGTTAAGTGTTGAATGTGAGAGTTACAGACTAGTACATTTGTAATCTTTTACAGTTGTCCCGTAACGATCTATGTTCATTTTAGGATCATATTTAGCTTATACACTGTGTACAGATATTAAATTGTTGGAGTTTTATTAATGTTTATAATTTTAGCTCTGCTTTTTTTAATTCTTTAAATTATTTTGTTTGTCTTTAGGGTCTCCTGACCCAATGTTTTTTTGGTTTGTTTGAGAGTTTCACTAGTATTTATAACATTTTATGGAGGATATCGTTAGTAAGTAACATGCTTGTATTGTCTGGAACTTTGTAAACATTAAAAAAATATAAGCAAATCATTAAGGAAAAGTGCAGGCCATCCTAGTTGTATGTAGTGCAGTAAGGTGAGTTCAGTAAGGTTTGTAATTTTAAGGTGTAATTTGTGTTTTTTTGCTCTGAATCCTGTTTTTAGCACTTTTCTCAAACTATACGCTGTCAGGCAAAGCTGCTTGCACCTTTACAGTCTGGCTTTCACAGAACCTATGCTGGGTTAAACAGTCAAATTCAAAAACTTAAGTATTGTACACTTATATACTTAACCACTTAAACACAGCATGTATAAGTTTTTCACAGACTGCTAAATTGTAACAAAAAGTGCAACAATGATAAGTGTATTTTGTTCTTTGTTTTGTTTTTTAATTGTTAATCGCTGAAGTTCAGATGGTTGTGGTTATGGTAGTGGGAAATATTTTTGCTGTGAAACTTCACAGAATAAACAGATGCATACGGTTATGCATGATGTGTTGCTTTAATTATTTGCAGTAAGATTTGTGCATTTTTAGGAAAACTTCTAAAAGAGGCCTGCATCGGTGGCTGCCATACCTTATCTCTTCATCACAACATCGCTTGTAGTTCCTGAATAGAAACGGTAAAATAGAAAAAGGTTTTTCGGTTCCTCTTGCCCTGCACTGTATTTGAACTTATTTGGTCTGCATGAATGACTCAAATGAACTGTGAAGTGTTTGTTCTTGTTGCTTGTTTTGTGCACATGCAGCAATTTACAACTTTATTAAACAGGATTAAACTGTACAAGTCATTTAATGGAATAAAGCTAATCATAAATAGCATACTCGGCAAAAAATGTATCCTCCTGTGGTAATATACATATTTTATTCATAGTAATTCTGAAGAAATCATATGTCCTGCATATCCTCATTGAATATATGGAGTGAGATCATCTGTATTTTATCTTTCCTTCAGTTAGATTGATGTTAAAAAATGTCGCATTTCAGAAATATTAAGACAAACTGGTGCTTCAGTGAGATAATTATACAGCAGAGGCAGAACCTAAGATTTCTAAAAAGAAAACCTGTGCTTTTTCATAGTGAAAGAGGAAGTGAGGAAAATAGTAGTTCACACAGAGTCTGAACAAGTGCAGTGTGAGATTAAATGCAAATAAAAATGTTCTGCAGAGTGAAGGCAGAGGAGTAGATTCGTCTAGAGTACGTCCACAATGGGTGTGCATGACTCCAATTCCTTGTGCTTCTGGTGGAGATTTATACTGGTTTTAAGTATCTGCAATATCGTTTTTACTATTATACATAAACGCTGCTTAACCATCGAGGAACATCTCCTCAGAGAAATGCCCAAGACTCCAAACTGCTACCATTATCCAGGAAGGGGTCTATATGCAGACTGCAATATTATAGACCTGCGCACTGATCTGTCAGAGGTAGGCCTTGACGTTAGATCCCTTTGTATTGTCGGTGATATTTCAAGCATTCCTGCTGATGCCTTTTCACACTTACCTTCTTTGGAGGTCCTTCAAATAGATGGGACAAGACTGGAGAGGGTTCAATCTGGTGCCTTTTCAGGACTCCCCAATCTGAAGCATTTGTCCTTGCTTTTCAGTGATGCAATTTGTAGGTCTGTCACAATGGAACCTCTCGCATTCGCTGGTTTGTCTAATTTGGAGGAGTTGACACTGAGAGGTCTTAAGATGTTCAATGTATCCAGCAGTATATTTGATCCGTTGGTTAGCATAACCAGACTAGAGATTAGCAGAACTTGTGCACAGGACCTTAGTGATATTTTCTGTTATCTTCCGGATGGAATGTCCCATCTGAAGAACCTGAGTGTGATAGACAGTGGGATTTCAACAATTGAGACCAAAGGATGTCCAGGGGGATCAAAGACGTGGCCTGTGAATGTCCTCTCTGGGATTCAAAACCTTTATCTAATAGGGAACAGTATCAAAATCATTCAAGCTAACTCTCTAGTTGTGTTTCAGAACCTCTCCAGACTTTTTTTGGAGTTCAAAGGCAAGTCGCTGGATAGTATTTGGGAGTCTGGGATTGGAAAAGTCAATGAGTTGAGTTTGACAGGAACTGTAATAAAAAAATATTCAACAAACTTCAAAGATTTGTGTCATCTGGTCACCAACCTTCATCTTCAATCCCTCAGCCTCATTTTTACATCAACAGACAGATTGGCTGCAGAGGACTTAAATGAGTGTGGGACAACTTTGACAAAGTTATTCATCAGCATATCTGAAGTAGGCCACCTGGACTTTAATTTCTGGACAGGTAACATTGGTTTTCAAGCACTGCAAATGTCCTATATGAAGTTGACAGATGTTCCATTCTGTGTTGCTGTGAATGGGACTGTCTGGTCCTTAACCTTGCTGGACCTCACCGGAAACTCAATTTCAGAGGTTGGCAGAGACCAGTTTGCTTGTATGCCTCTTCTCGAGCAGCTCTTTCTCAGCTATAATACCATAAAAACCCTACAGCTGCATGCATTTCGGGGTTTGCATCGCCTCAAAATTCTCAAAATTGACTCGAATAAGATCTCACAGCTTACTGCGAAGGATTTCAGATCCCTTAAGGCTTTGGAGGTCCTGCATATCAACAATAACATCATTGAGACTATTGAGGTCGGAACATTTCAGGATCAGCAGGAGCTTCGTGAGCTGACACTGGGTAGACTGGAGTATATTTATGAGTTGCATCTAAATAGAATTTTTTACGGATTTCCACTGAAAATACAGCGACTAAGTATTGATGCACACTATGGAACTACTTTTTACCTGGGACGTACATCACAGCCTGAGGGAACATTTGTTTTGGAGCTTAATGGAGACAGACTGGATTTTGCGGACTGTAATACTTCTGTTTTTATAGCAGTTCGAGAGCTGAACGTGATTTGCACCCATTTCATATGCAAAAATGACTTCATGGCACCTTATTTCCCAAACCTGGAGTCTTTTGAGATCTCAGGGGGAGCTGAACGAGCGCCTCTCATTAACACTAAAATCAGTACTCTGCACCGTCTCAAGCGTCTCAAGCTCATCAACCTGAGCTTTTCTAACAATACAGATGCTGGAAGCGTCTTCTGGAACCTAACAAGACTCCAGATTCTAGTGCTGGTAAACTGCCATCTGAGCTTCCTGACCACGAGTATGTTTAAAGACCTGACGTCTCTGCAGCTGCTGCGTCTCTACAGCGACAGTCCTCTGGTCTTGATTGATGGCATGTTCGAAGTTCTTCCAGCACTAACAGCGTTTGTTCTTGATAAAGTGGATTTCCAGTGCAGTTGTGAAAATGGCTGGATTCTGGATTGGGCGCAGAGCACGGAAAAAGTGCAGGTGATCTACTTGCAGATGCAGAAGTGTATCTGGCGCTATCAGAAACTCAACTTCTTGGCGACCATGGAGAAGCTGTGTCAGACTGACGCGCAGTACATTTTCTATGTAGCCACAGCTGGAAGTGTTTGTCTTCTGCTGTCGGCAGCCGTTGGATATCGCTTTGCTCGCTGGCCTTCTGTAGTCCTCTTCTTCCGCCTGAGAGGATGGGTGGAGAGGATGTTTGGTAGGCAGTGGCTCAGGAGGAGGAGACGAGTCGAGGGGGCTGATGGGGAGATAGAGGAGATGCGGTATGATGCCTTTGTGTCTTTCTGTAATCGTGATGAGGCCTGGGTCCTGGGGGAGATGGCTCCTCGGCTGGAGGAACAAGGGAACCCGAGATTGAGGCTGTGTTTGCACCACAGAGACTTTGAGGTGAGGTTGAAATGAAGTTCTATTTGATCTTCTGAATATAAATTAGTTGAAGTAGTTGAGCTTATGTTAATGTTTAGACCATGACAAAAAAAAATTTAGGTTTAGAACCCAAGAAAAACACTGCTATGTTTTGATCACCAAAAAAAACATCTTTTGTTATGTCTAGATTGCAAAAAACAACTTATGTTTAGATCATGAGAAAACAAATTTTATGTTTAGATCGCAAGAAAAACACTGTTATATTTTGATCACACACAAAAAAAACATCTTTTGAGGTTGAGTTGTTGTTTTCATAAGTGTTATCCATCAAGATTCTTGTGAAACATCTTTTAGGTGGGTAAAGATATCATGGACAACATCACTGAGAGTATCTACAGCAGTCAGTGCACTGTTTGTTTGATCAGTCGGCGGTATCTGCGCAGTAACTGGTGCAGTCTGGAGATGCGAGTGGCCACACACCGGCAGCTGGAAGAGCAGAAACACCGTCTCATCCTTATCTTCCTTGAACACATCTCTCCTTTTGAGCTCTCTGCTTTTCATCGGTAATTAGGGCAAGATGGGGGAAGATGCCCCACTTAAGAACAATATGCATTTACTGTGAAACTGAAACATATTCAGAGATGAGTTTAGGAAGTACAGGATGACAAAAGATCGATCAATATACACTACTTTTCAAAAGTTTGAGGTTCCTAAGATTTTTCTGGAATGATTTCTGAAGGATCATGTGACACTGATAACTGGAGTAATGGCTGCTGAAAATTCAGCTTTGCCATAATAGGAATACATTACTTTTTAAAGTATATTAACATTTAAAAAGTTATTTTAATTGAAATAATACTGTTACTTTTTACTGTATTTTTGATCAAGTAAATGTAGCTTCGGTGAGCATACCAGACTTATTTCAAAAACATTTAAAAATCTTACCAACTTCAAGCTTTTAAACAATATTGTATTATTAGTGTAAACTTGACATAATTTTTAATCCTTTAAAAGTGACACTATTCATTTACTAAATCAAATATTGTATTCATTTTCTCATTTTATAAACAGTGTAAATAATTTTATCATTCCTTTCCATAGTTTGGCCAGACTGGTGAGATCACGTACATATCTGGACTGGCCCGAGGATGAAGGTGACAGAGTGCATTTCTGGGATCGTCTAAGGAGGAACGTTGCAGAGGAAGACACGGTGTCGGTAAGTACAAAGAAGCAGCAGGAAACTGGCAGAAGTCTGAATGACACTGAGGTTGGAAAGATACAATATTACTTCAATAGCTCAAACATCTAAACTGATGCTTCAAGAAAGAATCCTGTTACAGGTGTTAAATTTGAAATAATATCTGAATTGTTTTATAGGAAGCTTCTTGAAACTACACCTGGTGCGGTGCTTGAACACAAGGACAGCTGTCAAAGAGCAATGAAACAAATCTTATTATTATTTAAAAAAAATACTCGTTACACTTAGAAATGTGATGCTTATCAGTGTTAATTTGTGAGAATGGAGTAACTAGTTGATTCCATATGTTCATGCTTTTTAAAATTTGTCTCTGTATGATATTTAATCCTAATGATTAAACTGATTAAATTCATAAAATGAATAAATTGTACTCATCACATTTTTTTTTTTACCAATGTCTGAACATAAATTTACATTGTGCTACACAGAGTGCATATGTTAAACTTATTTGAGTTCATAAACACTCAAGCGTAAAAGCAAACAGCCCACCATCGGTGCATAGAAATATTTTCAGTTCCCATTATGAATGTTCATTTATATTTTCATTTCTACTCTACCGCTAAAATGCTTAAATTCTTGAAAATATTTTTGTAGACAAACAGAAGTTGTACATATGTATGACTTTCTTTACAAACTTAAAATTCCTCCTCCTGTTATCTTCTGTTGATGTGCTCTGTTTTACTGTAATATCTTAGCAAGAACATAATAATAAAAATAATAATGTATAAGCTATTAATAACATGCTGGTGTTTGTACAAGCTACTGTATTGATAGCTTGCAAGAATTTTGGTTTTGGATGTAAATCTGGCAATACCTTAATTCAAGTACTATAGAGGGCGCTGTTACTCTCTTTCTCTCCCTCTCTCTCATTCATGGTTAAATAAACTATAACCTGATTAAGCACTATGAACCGGCATGTTTACACAGGGCAGTTTAGACTTTAAGTCTTTACTCCAGTGATATTTTTGATGAAATTCACAAAACCATGATTCAAACATCAACAGTTGTCTTTAAGTTGCGCTTTGTCATAAATGCCATTTGACTGATCACTCTTTGCAGCTCATAACACAAACAAGATGATTCCAAGTTGTTTAGAGCCCTCCAAAAATGTGCATTGGCAAAACTACTATAAATCAATGAATTTTTGTTTAAAAAAATATTATAATAAAAAATTGCCAACATAATACCAGCAGGGTGGTTTTGTTTTGTTTTGTCAGCCAATCAATTAATCCCTGTCATTATGTCATCTATAAAGATGATTTGCAATACAGTTCTAAAACCATAAATCTTTCATGAAGAGCTTCTCACATCTGCGCTTGCACAATCCATTTTCTGGCATGGAAACGTCAGAAGTTACACTTATGAAGTTGAGCAACGTTCTTTACAACTTTGAAAACTGGGAGAAAATATTAAGAGGGATTTTATTTGGGAACTTTCTGGGAGAAAGTAAACAATTGCCTAACAAAAGATAAATATTAGATTACATAAAAGTTTGTCATTAAAATATATTTACAGGTTATGTTGTATAATTATTATCAATACTATTACTTTTTTTTTTTTTTTTTTACAATTATGTGATGCAGGAGAGGTATTAGGATTTAGGCTCGGCTTGTAGGTGTGTCCTGTTTCACAACGTGTGCTAATCATGGTTTTAACAGTGTTTGCTTGATACAATTGTGCTAGATTTTACATCCAGAACAATATTCTGTTCCTGTCAAGACTTATCTTGGTCCCAAAATACTACCCATGGTGGCTACCCATGTTTTTAAATAGTTTACTAAGACAGTAGTTAGCCGTACACCCTAATATGTGTCTTCTGACTGGCTAGATGTGCTATCCAAGTTATATGAACGACCTCATATTCTAAACAAAACAAAATCAATAAAAAAAAAAACATAAAATAAAACAAGGAAAGAATGGGGGGAGGGGTGGGCCTGGGCAGGTCAGATAGATTCAGCCAGTAGAGGGCCTAAACAGAATATTTACATTAACATGTAAAAGAAAACATATATTTTATTTGACCTATTTAATGTTTCTAGTTTTGATTTTATAAACCGTTGAACTTTTGCTTTGTGATTAAAGTTTTAATGGCACTTACAGCCAGAAATTCTGTTGTATTGTCTGGCAATAATTATGATGGCAAACAATGCTACTCAAAGGCAAACAAAACCTACATTAATGTTGCATAGTACCAACCAAACACAGAGACTGTGGGCTTAGTGAACAGGGTGGAGGAGAATCACTGGACTGTGAGGGTTTTGTCTTGGTAATTGGAAGGCACATGTTCCTGATAATTGTGTTCTGGTATGCTGTGCGCCCCACAGCAGACAGCTTTCTCTCTCACATAGCTGCATTCTTTCTCTCTCCCGCCCTCACATATGCACAAACATAGCTTCATGCTGCAGAAAGAAAGTTACACAGAAAAGAAAACTTTGAAAACTTATATTTTGATCAATGTGGCAAAGCATGTTGGCTAGAAACTCAGAAAAAAAGTAGGCCTATCTGACTAAGCTCTCAAGGTGTGGCTGGATGATGATCTCACTATGCTAGTCTCACTAAGCCTTTGTGCAACGATCAAATGCATGCTCCTACTTGTGACAGGCACACACTCTCACAGGCCATTCAAACATGGGCCTTGCAGTTGGCACAGAACTCACTGCAATGAGTCAGAAAGCAGAAAATGGTCGTAGATGGTTAGAAGAAAACTGGCTGAAGTGGTGTTATTCACTTCCTAAAACTCTTCTCACCACTCACCTCATTTTCCAGTGTGGTTATGACAGTACACTTTCTGGGGAGTTATGTCCTCACAACACCTCTCTTGAGTAATATATCCTGTTTTCCCCACCCATAAAGTTCTGGGTATACGCCCAGTGCTTTGATGGGAAAAAAAAACTTGGGAAGATTGGAATTCGCAGAAGAGGCATTTTTATAGGCATTGTACTGGCTTAAGTTAGAAGAGGCAAGAATCAGCAGAAGTTTCCTTACAAAACTAGGTAAGCAGTCCAATTTGATCCTAAGAAGTTTGTAGGACAACCCTATTGTTTATTTGATGAGATTTGTTGGTTTAGAATAACATAAGATGTTTTCTTCTGGATATTATAACAATTTTACCCAGGTTTTTAGGTGGTCAAGGATATTCATCATTTAGCTTGTTTTGTTTCGTAATCCCTGCTGAAAAGGCGTTTTCTGGTTTCTGTTGGTCTCTGTTTGCCGTTTTTTTGTGGAAGTTGAGGGCACTTTTCAGATGGTCAAACTGGTCTGTTAGCTGGTTTTAATGTGCTTGAACTGTGGAACACAGAACTTTGGCATCAAATTAACTGGGTTCCATATATAAGCTTTCGTGCCCTATGCAAATGTGTCACTTTCCGTTTAATCCCACTCTGCGTGAATATTTCAGTCCGGCGACTACAAATAGCCGATCCGATTCCCTATAGATGTAACGCAAGCCCTTCTCCCTTTACACCAAAGAAGAAATCAGAAACCTGGTATTTATTAATTCAGAGCTTTTTCTCAGGGCGCACGCGTGCAAATCCTCCGCGTGAGGTGAATAGATTCGCTGCTAATTATGCGCCGTTTGCTGTGATAAGCCCTGCAGTCGACCTTACGGGAGTTTGGGGGGAAAGCACTCGATCCTTAACCGGACGAAGCACGACCTCAATGTGTCAGCGGTGACACGACCACCAGAACGACGTTAATTATGAATACAGAGATAAGACAGCAACGGTGGGAGCTGTCTGATAACACAGAGAGCTCGAGCCAACTTGTGCACCGTTACCTTCGAGTGCTGACAGCTTGGCACAAGCAAATTATTCACACCTCATGAAGAGACAGAGAACAAGCTTCTTATTCTACGTTTATATACATACACTGGAAAAACGAACACCACCACTAAATAAAAAATATTCTTAAAGGGACAGTCCACTCCCAAAATTAAATTGCGTCATCATTTGCTCACCCTCATGTTGTTCCAAATGTGTCACTCTGTCGTCCTTCACTGTAGAAAAAAGATATTACATATTAATATTACAATGTTTGCATTCTCCAAAATGAGTAATGAGTACAATTAGTGATTTACAGCTATATTTAGGTATAGAAAGGATATCTAATAGCCTAAATGAAATACCAGTTATTTTAGGTATCAGATCATTCAGTCATGTTAGGACAATGAGTTAACTGTGAGAGCTGTACTGTAAGTAAGGTATGATCTTGTGGGAACAAGAACATATTAAAGAAATAAGAGCTGTGAACCACCTGTCCGAACAAGTGCAACAGTTTATGTGAGAGCTGAACATGAGAAATGCGAACAAAGCCTTATTCTCTCAGTCACTTTCTCAACCTCATTCTTTCTTTACATTTTCATCCAGTGATGGTTGCAAGTTTGACATTTTTCAGTAACATTAGGAAACAAGGGCAAACCACAAGTAGCCTGGAGGGACATCTAGAGGACCAAGGATGGAATGCAGTTGAAGAAAACTCTAATACACTAATAGATACTATTGCATTTTTATTTGCCCAGTGATTAGAAATTCAGTTCAGTTCAATTCATTCAGTTGACCTTGTTTAGGGTAGACACCATAGGTTTTATTCACAGTGTCACCACAGAGCAATTTTTTTTTTATTTGGGAAGCTTCTGAACTTGCCAAGCTACAAGCTTAATAATTTTAAATAGCTACTGTATACTACAGTCACGCTACTCTTTTGAACTGCAATTTATATTTACATTTTTTTAACAGTACAATTTCAAAAAGTAGACTGCAGTGTAGCTTCTTCAAAATATTGAAGTAGGCTATCTTTCAAAAATTATAACTTCACTAAACATGACACAAACACAATAAGTGATTCTGAATGAATGAACACTTAGTTGGGTAGAATTAACAAACAGTATTAAACTTGAACAGGTACATTTTAGAATAGAATAACAACACCATAATTTAACAAGTGAGTCAAACTATGTATATTTCGGGGACTCGAATCAGTTAATCATTTGAAAAATCTGTTAATTTACATGAACCATCTGAACAAACTGATTCAATAAAATGAATTGGACTTTCTAACACCACAAATAATGGTACGTTTACATGACAACTAAACAGAAAAGATTTTCCTTTGCGTTTTTGAAAAGTTGTTGCATAAAGTCGACAATGTTGTCAAAATGATCCCCGTTCACACGGATCCACTAAAATGACTAGAAATGCTGTTCTATTCATGCCAGGCCAGTAGTGTTAAGAAACACATGTGCACATACTAATAGACTAAACATGTAATACGCATGAACTTGTCGTCACCATTTTCACAAATATGCATGTTTGTAGTTTAAATGATAACGCAGTGGTCTCAAACTCAATTCCTGGAGGGCCACAGCTCTGCAGAGTTTACCCTTATGAAAATTAGCCATGGTTTTACTACAAATAAAACCAAAGAACCATGGTTACTATAGTTTAACAATGGTAACCACAAATGAACCATGGCTTTGCTACACTAACCATAGTTTAACCATGGTATTTGTGGTAAAACTGTGCCAAAGAACCATGGTTACTATAGTTTAACAATGGTAACCACAAATGAACCATGGCTTTGCTACACTAACCATAGTTTAACCATGGTATTTGTGGTAAAACTGTGCCAAAGAACCATGGTTACTATAGTTTAACAATGGTAACCACAAATGAACCATGGCTTTGCTACACTAACCATAGTTTAACCATGGTATTTGTGGTAAAACTGTGCCAAAGAACCATGGTTACTATAGTTTAACAATGGTAACCACAAATGAACCATGGCTTTGCTACACTAACCATAGTTTAACCATGGTATTTGTGGTAAAACTGTGCCAAAGAACCATGGTTACTACACTTCTACTACAATAAAACCATGGTTCATTTTCATAAGGGGAGCTTCAACCAGGACCTGCTTGGAAGTTCCTAGTAATCCTGAAGAGCTTGATTAGCTGGATCAGGTGTGTTTGATTAGGGTTGGTGCTAAAGGCCGTTTCTCAAACGGAAGGCTCCATCCTCCAGAGGTCGCATTTGCAGGCTGCATACGTCATCAAGGTTTATTTCAATTAACTGAATTATATTCTATTTATTTTATTGGGAAAATATTATATTCATAAATGTAATTTTTTTTCAACATTCCCAAAATTACATAATTTTCTTTGTGACTTTAACTACCTAATTATAACAATAAAAAAATGGTAATACCAAAAAAAGTGTCAAATTTGTGAAATAAATCATTTTGATTTACTACCTCTGTATTTCTTTGTTTTATCTATTTATTCTTATTTATTTATTCTTATTTTTTATTTGTCTTCCTATATTATTTCTGTATTCATAATGTCATCCAATGTTGTATTAATTGTTGAAGTTAAGTGTTAAGTTTGCATTATATTCGAGAGTCATAAGCATATTACAACAATTTACGCTTAATTAAGAATAATGGTAAAATATATAACTGTTAATATTCTAAAATAAGATCTTCTTTATGACATATGCTGCCTACAAATGTGACCTCTGAAGGATGCAGTCTTCTGTTTGAGAAATGGCCAAAATATGCAGAGCTTTGGCCCTCCAGGAATTGAGTTTGGGACCAATGCGATAACGGTATCATTTTCAAAACTTGCACTTTGAAACTCGCTTTAAAGTTTTTATTTTCATGCCCCCAATATGCCATTGTTGTGTATATAAATGGCCAAAACGCATAAAAAGTTTTCAGTTTTTAGTTGAAAATGGTGTTGTGTAAGAGAGAGGCCCGTTTAGGATGACTCGATTTACAATAATGATTCAGACTTTCCAACAATATGAGATGGGACTATTTAGGATGAACTGATTCACTAAAATTGCACTTTTCAGCACTACAAATAATAGAGGGGAGCATTTTGGACAAATCAATTCACAATAATAATTCAGACTTTCCAATGATATTTGGTTGAGGTGAGTGCGTTTGTTTATTCCTTCAGCTCAGTATTTAGTTGTGTTACAATGCTACTTTTTGGGTAAAATTGTTTTATTTAGGCCTATAAAATCATCTGAACTTCACACTGATGAAAAAAAAGTAACAAATTCAGCTAGTAGCGTCACTACTTTTAGTTAATTGCTCTCCAGCACTTGATGCTGTTATGTTTAGAATTTTGTAGCATCAATTGCAGTGCCTTTCTGCGTGGTTTTATTGCTCGTTTCCATTTGGCAGCTGGCATGTACTGGAAATGTTCATGGGTTTGTTGACTTCTGAATTTCACAGCGCCTCATTACATGACAGTTTGTTTGGGTCCCTTGGGACACTAGGAGCACCTCTCAATCAGCCTGTCTGATGCTTCTGCCTTAGTCTGACCAAGTCTGAGCTTGAGTATCACCTAATGAGCACATCTCATTTAGAACTATTTTAAGACAAAGACACTTCTCTCTGCGGCAAACACAAGCCTCTCACAGCTAAACACATGACTTCATACAAATAAAATCTGTCTTTCCACAGCCACAACTACAGTAATGCAAAGCCACACTGGTTGCTCATAAGAGAGAGGATTAATAACCCTGATTATCAGTCAATTCCAGCAGGCCTTCCACCAGTAATTTTCACCCAAGCCCTGCTCAGGCTTCTCTCTTTCTTTCTCTAATTAGGTTAATAGAGGGCCACCAGTAATTGGAAGGATGGTAGAGCAGTGGTGTAGTGTACTAATGTTAGTGGTGTAGTGTAAGTATTCAGGTGTGACGTCTGTCAGATGGAAGATTTACCTGAAAGGGGTGGCCTATAGAATTACCCATACGTCACACGCACATTAAAATCACATTAATTTTGTGCGTGCATGTGAGCGTTGCAGCTCATCTCAAGGGAAAATTAAGGCCTTGTTTAGACTGGCAGCAAAATCTGATTACTAGGGATGCACAATATATGGGAAACATATTGGTTATCATCCAATAATAGTTTTTTTTTTTTTGGATATATGAAATTGTGCATTGTCATTTTTATATTAAAACCTTTGACGTCATATAGGCTAATGCTCAATAAGCTAGTCAATTAAAACAATAATCATTTAATAAAATAGTTCAATATAATCTTCAGCAGGTCTCAAAATTATGATAATTTTTTTTCATTATTATAATTTTTTAAATACACAAAACTAGTATAGAATTCCAATATCACCCATTCATCAATATTGTCCAGAACTCTTTTTTTTTTGTATTTGGTCTACATTGTAAAAGATTATTAGAGTACATGTACTCATGTACTCAAATTTGAACATTTAATTCAATGTATTACTAGCAGTTTCCTTGTTATTATTTGTGAAATTTACCTGCAAAATATGAATGCATTTTTTAGTAAGTAAATCCTACACCTTTTTTCAGTGTATACTGTATGAATTTTGTGGAATTGTGGCCTTCATTTGTGTTTTACTGTACCTGGGGTTTGTTATGGATAAGCTTGCTAAATGTCACTGGAAGGAAACCCAAATTAGATCATTAATTATTTGTTAGTGTCAAATATGAGAGGATCTACAGTACAAGAAAATTAAATGCAGTAGGTTACAGTTTATTGCTTTACTTTGTGTGTCAGTAGGGAAGGTAAAAAGGGTTATTGATCCAAAAGGAGTGGGCATCCTTCAAAGAGTGTGTATGGGCTTTTGTGTTTGTATGTTGTTGGATGAGAGAGAGAGTGTAACAGACATGTAGCAGGCAACCCCAGCGGTAATGTGAGCCTGTGGCCTGAGTGGATCGAATGTCCGTTAAAGATCACAGGTTCCATTGTCTTGTGGTATACACTCTACAGCTCCACACACTCCTCCTCTGCTCCTCTCTCCCTCCTCCCTTCTTCATGCTCTTTAATTATTCTAGCATCATCCCTCTCCTCAGGTCACTCTTTTTCCAGTGCCTGCCCTTCCTTTAGTCATCCCGCTGCTAAAATGTCACTTACTAACATTAAGACTCCATCCTAAAAATATATATTGCAGTGTTTTCCGATCTTTTTATCTCAGGTACCACCGTAAACCCTTCAGTAAGATTTGAGTACCCCTTCATAGATACCAAAAATGAATTCCTATGAACCTACTGTATATGAAATACAGTAAAACAAAAGCCATCATTTTTTACTAATGTTAATGAGAAGATAATAATTATATTAATAATTATATAAAATGTACATATATTATATTATATTATATTATATTATATTATATTATATTATATTATATTATATTTAATATATAACTTGTCATCCGTCAGGTGTTTACCTGTCTTTGGCCTCAGACACTGGAACAGGCCTCATTCCTTTGACCCTGGAAAATGGACTATATCATAATACATTATATTAAGTCATACTTTCATTTTTTTTAGGCTAGGCTTAACAAAGCTACATCAAATTATTTACTCATATTAATATTTATTTATAAGTACTCCCTGAAAATTACCTCCCACTGTTAAAAAATAATTTTCAAAGTTGTAAATAAAACAGATTATTTGAGCACATTTTACAAGACTTACACTCTAAAAAAAACGCTGGGTTAAATGCAACCCAGTGCTGGGTAAAATATGGACAAACCCAGCAATTGGGTTGTTTTGACCCAGCGGTTGGTTTACTACCCAGAAGGTTAGGTTAAAAATTTAACCCAACCGCTGGGTCAAAACAACCCAATTGCTGGGTTTGTCCATATTTTACCCAGCACTGGGTTGCATTTAACCCAGCATTTTTTAAAGTTTAAGTGTTTGAAATTTCGTGTTTAATTATTTGCTTTTCTTTGTAATTATTTGTGAAATTTACCTGCAATTTCGAAGTGAAAATCGTTCCAAAGTAAACTCTTGAGGTACACATATAGTGACAAGATGAAAACTGAATCTTTGTTTATAATGTATGTTCTTCTCTCCTTTATACAGTTACAAATATGGAGGGTGCCATTAAAACAGTTGTTATGCAGTTCCTGTCTTCAGCACGGGGAAAAGAGAGCCTGGGTGGGAAGAGCTTCCAAAAGTTAGTCCAGAGTCAGCTGGGAAACATCATGGGTGTAAGTAACAAATCTCTCATTTTGTTCCATTTAGTTGACACATAACATGTCCATGGACTACAAGATAAAGATTTTAGCCTCAAGGTATACATAAGTGAGTATGTTTGTTAAATAATTGTTTAATCACCCTTTTGCCTTCATTGGTTTATTTTAGGTGGTCCTGTCATTTGCAATTAATGTGACAATTAAATTAAAAGTACAAATATTTCATAATCTCTCAATTAATATGAGGTCGTAAGTACTGCATGCATAATAATTATAAGAGAATTTGCTAAATTAATTAAAAGTAAAAGTAGTTTTAGATGAAGTATAGCATGTCGCAACACAGAACAAAAAAATTGTCAAGACTGCACTTCATTGGCTGTCTGTGTTTTCTGGACTAAGCTTGATTGGGCAATGCTAAATAGTTGAGGATTTCACACTCTCTCTGTCTCTGTCAGGACACTGACAGCTCTTCAGCAGTGAAGGACATGATGAAAGGCCTGGATGACAACCAGGACGGGAAGGTCAGTTTCCAGGAGTACCTGACGCTGGTGGGCTACCTGGCCAACTCAATGAGTGAGCAGAAAGCACAGAGCAGCGCAGCCGGTGGACCATAAGAAGCCCAAAAAGCGTTGATGACACTGACAATCATTTGTAATGCTGGAGTCTTGCACCAGTAATGAGAGACTGGGGATAGTTGTCACAATTGTTTTACGTATTAAAAAGTTTTCAAGGTAACTTGCTTTAAAAAAGAAAAGGTCAAAACATTGTTTTGGCCAAAACACACTGTATTAATAAATTGTGTAAAATTACCGTAAATTTACATACATAACAAAACAGAACTAATTTAGCCCTTGTGACTTCCTGTTGTTACAACTAGCCTTGGTCTCCAATGCAATATAACATCTGCAATGATCTGAAAACACTTTTAAAGTCAAATTATAAATCTGTTTACATGTACACGCATTAATGAATTTATAAAACAATGTCTGACCTGTGGCCATGTACAAGTGCTAAATCAAGTAACTTTTTGTTGCATAATTGTTTGCTTTTTTTGTTATTTTTGCTTTCCATGTTAACAGGTTTTCATTTCTAGGCTCACATGTTTTCATATATGATTTAATTGTTTTACTGGGAACGAAATATGCTTGATTAGTGCTTAAAACAAGGCATAACTGGTGAACGCAAGCCATCAAATATACTAAAAATGTCAATGTCAATGTTGTACACATCAGATTTGTCCATTTAAAAAAGTGAAATTTTACACAACTGGAGAAATGTTTTTGTATAACCTTTCAATTAAAATATGGAAATAATGACAAAATTGTAATTTTAGTCATCCTTTAACTTTCAGACATGTAATACAAGCTAAAGATCATGGTGCTCTGGGTACAGCCTGTGCCCTAGCATGAATACATGTTTTTATGTGTACATATTTTGTGTGTTTGTCAGTGTCCTTTGAATTTGGCCATTCGTGTGTTTTCAGTCGCAAGCCTTGGCTGGCATACGTGTATGGACACCATTTGCTTAATGATGAACACCTGTGCAGCAGTATCAGGTGTGACAGGACCACTTGTAGTCAGATGCTCACACACACACACACACACACACACACACACACACACCTGAGAGATTATCAGCACCTCTTAAAGACCCTTGGGTTGTTAGTAACTACATTTGTGCCATGTAACCTTGTTTGGCCTGTAACATAATCAGTCCTCAGGCACCTGACCCCATTTCATCTTATAGCTTATGTGCCATTATGCTAATAATTGTAGAAAAGTGCATCAATAAATTACAATTATATATTACATATATAAATGTGTTTGATAGATAGAGATAGATAGAATTGCACCATTAAGAAGCTTGACCAATCCCTAATTATATTATATAACATTTCATTACATAACTGAAATAACATAGACATTAAAATATAAAAAGCATATTTTTATAAAGCATATTTTAAAGCATAACTGCTGGTAATGTAGTATTTCTATAGCTCGGCTGATTTTCATTATAGCGATGTTTGTGTCTAAGTCATCAATTACAGCAGATAAATCATTTAGTTTGGGGTGCTGAACTATCACGTCTCTAAAAGTTTAATGTGACAAGCACCAGTACATATAACTAACCTTTAGGATCAAACATATCTATTTACCCAAAAGCTCTTCTTTCAGGTAAGTCCAGGCCTTCAGAGCGTGTATATACATGAATGTCATGTTGTATCATTAGATAAGCTTGAAAACATGACTGGTGACATTTAATGAAACAATAAAGTCCATTACATGTACATTTTATAATTTTTTTTCAAATTGATTCATTCAAATCTTATGTTGATACATGTAGTCACGTGTATATATTTTCATGATTCACAAATTGAGTGTCGATCAATAAAACAAAACATTGATTATGTGGCTTGATTTAATTTGCTCAAGTTACCGTCTAACTCAACATCAACATCACATTTATTCCTTTATATAACACTGTTTTTAAAAAATTTCTTGCATTGTGAATGTGTAAACAGAGAGGACAAGAGGTAGGCAGAGACAAATGAAGGATGGATGGAGGAAGGGAGGAAGGGAGGAGGAGTGTAAGGTATGATGGGAGGAGGACCAAGTAGGTATATAAGATGCTGGCCATCGCCTCTCGTCTTCACCAGCATTCATCTCTCCTCAAGGAACAGAAGAGCAACAACCTTCTAACAGCAAGGTAAGGGACAGAAAAGAATGGATGGAAGAACAGACAGTAATTGTGAATTCTTTAGAGTTCGCTTTTGTGCTGCCTGATGTTTCTAATGAGCTTCTGGACATGACATGCTTGGTCAGATCATGTGCTAAAGAAAAGTTTGATGTAATGAGCTGCTATTGGAGAAAATTCTTTAATGTGGCTCTCCACCTCAAGTTCTGCGTGGCTTGTGGTTCATCTCTATAAAGTATGTGAGGAGGCTTTTCTTCTCCACTGAAGTTATTTTTGCCAACACAACCCAATATGTCTATCAGTTCATCCATCAGGACAGGGCTAAGCTCAAACCGAGGGCAGTGCTTGGTTAAATATGTGTGTGTGTGTGTGTGTGTGTGTGTGTGTGTGTGTAGTGAGTTGTGGGCACTGAGATTGGCTCAGATTACACTTGGCCGAGTAACTTCCTCCCCAGGTTCTGGAGTGTTTTTTCCAGTTTAGGATTTCACCCTTATCAGGCGAGTCACATTTCCCTTCTGTAGTTAAGTTAAGCCCGTAGGATGATCTGAAGAGGGAAGGAGGGGTCAAAGCATGTTGAGCTGAGAATATATTACTGCTTCTTTTGCAATGCTTTTACTGTTGTGGTCTGAAGAAAATAAGTCTGCCTTGTGCTTTTAAATATTTAAAAATGAGCCAGAAATACTCCCCCTAAAGAAAACCTTTTGTGCATCCTTGAGTGCATTTATAAGTCTAAATACAGCCGCTCGCTACAGTGACCAATAAATCTTTCTTTCCAGAATGTCTAATGTTCTAAACTCAGAGAATGCCTCCACTCTGGAGAACGCCATGCAGCTGATGATCCAGACGTTCCACAAGTACTCTGGAAATGAGGGCGACAAATACACTCTCAGCAGGCAGGAACTCAAAGAGATGCTAACGCAGGAGCTGGGCAACTACCTTGGGGTAAGGAGAAAACACAGTTTTGACTTCTTTGTGAAAGTCAGATGTTTCTGAATAACTTTATCTGCGTCTCTCTTGCTCCACAGAATGCACAGGATAAGGATGCGGTAGATAAAGTTATGGGAGACCTGGATTCAAACAACGACGGTGAGGTGGACTTCACAGAGTTCGTCATCCTCGTTGGTGCCCTCACTGTCGCCTGCAACGACTTCTTCCTCGAGTATCATGAAAAGGATGAAAAGAAGGCTGAAAAGAAAGAGTAGAGTTGCATTTCTCCGAACAAAAGCCAACACATGACCAGCGAATGATGATGAGGGGGAAATGAGGGGAGAAAGGGAATATGTGTGTGTGTTTGTGTGTGTATGAATCTTCCTTACTGATACTTACAAAGTTGCATCCACATCCTGCATCCATGCAATCCTGGGTACACAAAATGTTCCATGAGGCACAACATGTTTCCAACCCCTGAACCTATTAGACGCATTAGGAATGAGATTTTGACATGGTCTTTGTTGAATATGTGAATATGTGTTTCTTCCTTTCTTTAGTTTTTTTAACAATTGGAGTTGTTAATTTTAAAATAATCTCTCCATATAACAATAAACCGCAGATTTAAAAATAAATAAATGCAGTTGGTGTGCTTTTTTCGCAGCAAGTGCACGTGGCAGGGTGTTTGTTAATGAACTGTTTCGTATTTTGTCAATGATACGAGGATGGAACAAAAATGGGTTATAATTAACGACTTTAATTAAAACATTGATGAAAATGTAACGAGAAAAAACACAAGGCATTAACAGTAGGTCTTTTTTTTATTTTAGAAAGAATGATTGTTTGGACTTATCCAATTAGTCAGTAATGAGTGCATTTCCTATACGCAACTTCCAAACCGCACAAAAAAAACCCACAATGTATAGCTAACTATAAGAGGTTCTCAAATGTGAAGCACCAAACTCAAATCCTGCACACATTAAAATATACAGTAGGCCTATATTGTACCACATTGACGATTGTCACGACACCCAATGAGGAAGGGTTGTGTGGAGTTTCTGTACTGATGTAAACAAACTAAATGTTTCGTGCACACCAGATTCAAATTGTGGATTTTGAATGAATGCTAATTAAATTACAGTCCGTTTTTACATAAAGCAGTTGAATGAATTCAGAAGACTTGGAATAAACCACACATCATGGACTACTTCTATCATAAAGATTATAAATTGATTATAAATACTACAACATAAAAACGAATCTGAATTGCCTCATTTAAAAAAAAATAGATATATAAATATATAAAGTGTACAGAATTCTTTTTAGCTAATAACTCAGCAACTGTGTGATAGAATCAAAATTCTTTTTATAAATTTTAGCTTTAACCCTGAAAAAAGGTGCATTTCATTTTATTGATTATTGATCAACTAATTTTAATTTGATTAAAAAAATACTTTTTTTTAACTCCTCCTAAACCGTTTGGTCAGATCTTCACCAAACTTTGCAGGCCAGCTCTAGAACTTGCTGGCAAAAATTATTTTGATTTTGTTTAGCAGATACAATTATTTATATTTGTCTGGATTGACCCAATATGACTAACATGTCTATGCGTGCACAAAGTTAAAACTTCTCAAACCTTGTCCATATGGAGAACAAGTCATTGTGAAGAAACAGGTTTAGTTTCATGAATTTTGAGCTGTACATTAAATTTGGGTAGAATCATAAAACATTTTTGATAATAACTCTGGAACCATTATAGTTACAATCAAAATTCACAATAAAAAAAATCTTCTGATTCCTTCAGTGTCCCCAAATCAGTTGATTGACTATTTCTGCAAAAAGCATTGCTAAGATATCAGTTAACTGATGGTCTTTTTCCGAGCTTATGTATATCTGCTGAATGCAATGTCCATGTTTAACAAAACTGGACATACAATTAACACATCCATTAAGTTAAAAATTGGCATGCACCTTCTATGTTGGATGTCCGTATCCTCTAACATATTCTCTAATATGACTCAGTCACCTCAAAAACTCTCTTATATACTTTATTATATTTTTTCTTACAAGGTTTTCTTATAAATTCAATTATCTTATTAAATTATACTTATCTTATAAACTTCTACACTTGTCTATCTTATACACTTATAAACTTATCTTATACACATCTATCTTATACACTTACCTTTAAACGTATAGACTTATCTATCTGATACACTTATCTTACAAAATGTCTTACTGATTTTTTTAAGAAGTATATATCAATTTAAAGACTATACAAATAACTATTACAAGTATTGCTGCTTCAAGTCGAGGTGGCAGACACTACCAGGACATGCCGGCCCTCACAAGATGCAAAGGGTTGAGTGGAGGGATGGAAAGGCCACTCATATCAGCCCGCCAGATGCAAAGCTGACTGAAGATAGAAAACAACAGGTTGGCCATGACAGGAGTTGTTTTCTTAGTTTCTTCAT